GGGAAGGACGCGGAATCCCCCAGAGGATCCGCGGCTGAGGAGAGATGCTTCCTGCTATTTTTCCGGCGATCGAAGCCATCGCCGCAACCCGCGACCTTCTAGTGCGTTCCGTCCAGGACTTGACGGACTTCCTTGCCCATCGTCAATCTGTGTTGCAACAGATCAAGGACAACCTCGCGCTCGCCCAGCAGCGGCAAGCGACGCACTCCGATCGCCGTGGTCGTTCCAATTTGGCGACCTTTTCTGTCGGCGATCTTGTCCTCCTCCACAAATCGGCCCTCCCCGATCACGCCTTTCGTGCGCGCGCCCCTGGAGCCAGCGCGAACGTCAAACTGCGTTCCACTTGGCACGGCCCGTTTGCCGTTCTTGATGTCGTGAGTTCGACTTCCTACAAACTCGAACTTCCCCCAATTGGAACGTGCATCCGACCTTTTATGTCGGCAAGCTTAAACGTTACCATGCGCCTACACCTGCACCTCCTACGACGCCGGTCGACGCGCCCTCCGCTCCTGTGGCGTCCTCTACCCTTCCTCTTGGTGGTCTTCTTCCGCCGGCCACTGCTCCTCGGCCGGAGGCGACAGTGCCACGATGTGCGCCTGACGTTCTTATAGGTTTTCTCGCCACTCCAGAAGGGAGGCACGAATCGCAGAATCCCCAGGGACAACTATGCGCGGAGGCGTGTCCTGGATGGGCTGGAAGTAAAGTAGGCCATCGCGAACAGAGTAACGATGGAGTAAGGACGGTAATCGCCGAGACTTGAGCGGCTCGGGAGTGGTGAGGGCACTAAACGCAGCCGAGCAACTCGCGTCGATGGAGTAGGCGGTTCGGATGCGGTCATGGAGATCGGAGTGGAGGAATCCGATCGAGGCAAAGTCCACAGGCGAGGAGTAATCTGGACGCCGAGAGAGCGCGTCAGCCAAAACATTGTCCTTGCCGGGTTTGTATTGAACCGAGAAATTGTATTCGGCGTAGAAGGAAAGCCAGCGAGCCATGCGGGCTGACATGTGGGGCGTGTTGACGGCAGTTCGCAACGACGCATGGTCGGTGTATAAGACAAAGGGGGCCGCGCCGATGAGGTAGACGCGGAATTTGGTGAGGGCGTATTTGATCGAAAGGAGCTCGAGATCATGAACGGGATACGAGCGCTCGGCGGCATGCAGCTGGCGACTTTGAAAGGATATAGGGCGCCAGCGACCATCAGCGTCAGGTTGCATCAAGCAACATCCGATGGCAAATTGAGAAGCGTCACACACGACGCTAAACGGCTTGGAAAAGTCAGGGAGCGCCAAAATTGGGGCGCTCTTGATACTTGATTTGAGGGCGTCGAAGGCGGATTGACAGTCGCCCGACCAAACCCATGGGGCATCCTTGACGAGCAACCGAAATAGGGGTTGCGCGATGTCAGCAAAACACGAGAATACTTGTGGAGGTAAGTAGCGAAGCCAAGCCACCGGCGAAGGTCGGTAACCGAGGAGGGAACCTGCCAGTCGATGATTGTCTTGACTTTGTCGGGGTCAGTCCGACAACCACGAATGCCGACGAGGTTGCCAAGGACAGGGATTTCGTCGACCCCAAACAGACATTTGGAGAGGTTGGCGTACAAGCCATTCTCACGAAGTACGGTGAGAACTGCGCGAAGATGCCGACGGTGAACCT